CCAGGGAGTCAGAGGTGGCAGTGAGATAGAGATTGCGCCACTGTACTCCAGCCTGGGGACAGAGCAAGGCTCTCAAAGAAAACACTGGCCAGTATCAGAACTGAAACAAAATATAAAGGGAAGGGCAAAGGGAGAAGCTTCTGCCCCTGTTGATAACTCTGATTTTCTCCACTAGGAAGAAGTCCCCAAGGAGACTTTGCCATAGTTCACAGAAAATACTGAAATGTCAGGTTCCACGCCATTTAAGATGAGATTAGTTCATTTAGACCTTAAAGGAGCTCCACCAAAGGTCTCGTACCTCTCAGAGGTAAGGACTTCCTTTCACCTCTGGAGCATCACTTTTTGCCTTGGCTTCGGTCTTTAAAGTTTTGAGCGGTGTTCTGTGGAAATGGGTGCCTAGAACACAACCACAAGGTTCTTGGTAGAGGAAGATGGTGGCAGCAGCGTTGATTTTGAATTTCCCCCGTAGCCTCTCACAAAAACAGAACAACCAGGATGGCAACGGGAAAATAAAGAGAACAAAAGAAACTCACAGCCTCTTTGTTGTGGGTTGCAGTGAGTCCTTCCAAAAAGATGTGTTCAAGCCTTAACTGCTGGGACCTGTGAATGTGACTGTATTTGAAAGAGGAGCTTTGCAGATGTCATCAAAATAAGATGAAGTTGTAGTAGAATACAGTGAACCCTAATCCAGGGATTGGCATCCTTATGAGGAGAGGGAAATTCAGAGCCTGAGACGCTCAGACGGAAGGCAGAGTGAAGACCCAGGAGGACACCCCTCAGTGACGGCAGCCGAGGTGGTCATGACGGCCACAGACTCCGGGATGCAGAGGACTGCTGGAGAGAGGCAAGGAGGGGTCCTCCCCTGCAGCCTTCCGGGAGAGCTGGGTCTGCCCCAACCTGGATTTTGGACTTAGGGCCTCCAGAACTGTGAGAGAATTAATTTCTGTTGTGTCAAGCCACCCAGTTTATGGTCATTTATTAGAGCACCCTTAGAAAACTAAGATAGTCTTCAACAAAACTAGGCATCAGCGTGTCCCCATGGATCCCAGACTACAAGTGGGTGGGGCCAAACCACAGACAGATAACACCACATGGGCTTAGCAGCCAAGCAGGAGGTAATAGAGGACAGAGAAGGGGAAGCTCCAACACTGCCGAGACTAGACCCAGAAAACTGCCTCAGAAGTGAAGCTCTCCCATAGCGACAAACGGGGGCGGGTTTTGCTGGCTCCAGGGTGAGACTGAGTGTAGAGACTTAAAGGAGGGTGTGGGGGAGGCCTGAGGCCACGAGGTGCTCAGAAGTACCTGATGACACTTTCTTCCAGGGGGACAGAGCCCCCCATTGAGGACACTACAGGGAAAGAATCCACATCGAACTGGGCAGGAACAGCCAAGGGAAAGGGGACTGCTCAGCCCCTGGACGAGGCGGAGGTCAGAAAACAGCAGAAGCAGCTACACAGAGCCTGCGATTTCTGACACTGCAGAGCAGCAGAAGAGGAGGGGCCTTGAGGCTGGCCTGTCACCATTGCAAACGCAGGAGCCTGTTCTTAAAAATGAGCAACAGGCCAGGCACGGTGGCTCACGCCTGTAATCCCAGCACTTTTGGAGGCCAAGGCCGGCGGATCACTTGAGGTCAGGTGTTCACGACCAGCCTGGCCAATATGGAGAAACCCCGTCTCTACTAAAAATACAAAAATTCGCCAGCACAGTGGTGCACGCCTGTAGTCCCAGCTACTCGGGAGTCTGAGGCGGTACAGTTGCTTGAACTCAGGAGGCAGAGGTTGCAGTGAGCCAAGATTACACCACTGCAATCCAGCCAAGGTGACAGAGCAAGACACCATCTCAAAAAAGGAAAAAGCAAGAAAGAGTGTTGTTAAACATCACAAAGATTTGTAAGAAAAAAGATGATTTGCATAGCATTGCAGCAGTGAAGGTGCTCCAGAAGCAGGCCCACCCAGCAGGAGGTGCTGCTCCGTGACATTTCAAAATGAGAGAAAAGATATTCAGAAGATGACAGAAGCAGTGAAAGAACAGCATAAATCAGAAATAGAAAAGCCCAGGCCAGGTGCAGTGGCTCACGCCTGTCATCCCAACACTTTGGGAGGCCAAGCGGGCAGATCACTTGAGGCCAGGAGTTTGAGACCATCCTGGCCAACATGGTGAAACCCTATGTCTACTAAAAATACAAAAATTAGCCGGGCCTGGTGGCGGGTGCCTGTAATCCCAGCTACTCGGGAGGCTGAGGCACGAGAATTGCTTGAACCTGGGTGGTGGAGGTTGCAATGAGTTGAGATCGT